GGCTGAGAGCACCCTCAAGTATTAATTTTCTCCTCTCAGTCTTAAGAATGAAACGAAAATCATCTAACAAACATGTGTAACTCGTATCTCTTGTGCAGTATATGCTACTGCACATCATGAAGGGGCCGTGGTTAAGCCCTGGGCTCCTCGCCAGAAGGCCAGCAGTTGAGACCCAGCAGCCCTCTGGGTAAAACGATGGGGTGGTCTGTTTGTGTCAGACATTGACAGCCGCAGCAGCACCGTGGGGCATTTCTCCTCCATCCACTCCTGGGCAGTGGGTGGGTTCTTTGTGGACCAAATTTGTAAGATAAGGTAAACTTTTAAAAAAAGATAAAGTAATTCAGATTATATATTTGACTTTCCACCACACAGTTTCCAGAGCGCTAAACTGTGTGCAGAAGATAAGATTTTAAAATGAGAATTCTTCTTGTTTCTTTCCCTCTATCTGTAATTATTTCAGTCTCCCCTACACCCCCCACCCCCTCCCCCCCAGTCACTTAAACTTAAAATCATGTGAACTAGGTCATCTTTGGACACTGACTCGCTCCAGGAATGGAATGAGGTCACAAAATGATATGGTAACTGTACCGGTGGAGGCAGCAGACAGAAATAGTCTTGGATGTATACAAGTAGCAACTCGGAAATGGAAATGTGTGGAGCAGCTGCTGTCCAGTCGTGTGTGTGTGTGTGTGTGTGTGTGTGTGTGTGTGTGTGTATGTAACCGGATGCTGTGATTCCGAGGATGCATGCTGTCCATTGTTGACTAAATCATAGATGAACTGCTAATCCTGTGTGTTTGTTTTTTACTATGATCAGCGGATATACTCTCAAATTTAATTTTTTTCATTTGCTTGAAGTTTTATTGACATACAATTCACATGCCATGCAATTCACCGACACGCTCAACTTTAGAACATTTCCATGCAGGCCTGGTTCACAGCACTTTCATGGCCTGCAACGCAGTTTTGACTCTCCCTCGTGTCCAGCGCTGCGCTTCTCCATCGGGGCACATGTATTTAGGGAAGATGTGAGGGGACTAGTAGGCCCTTCTCTCCAGAAATGTCACACGTAGCTCAGATTGACCACAGCTTTGGAACACCTCTGAAATTCGAAAATTTCACCATTGCTCCTTAAAGCTTCCTTTGACTGCCAGAAACTTGACTTACAGCACCAAAACCAGTGGAATAACTTTGAAGGTTAACCAGTTCACAACAATTTGAACTTGTAAGAACCTTGCTGTTTTACTTGCTGAAAACTCACTCACTCACTCACTCACTCACTCACTCACTCACTCACTCACTCACCACCACTGCCATTGAGGCGATGCTGACCCATAGTGACCTCCCCTCTGGGTTTCTGAGACTGTCACTTGTTTTATGGGAGTAGAAAGCCCAGTCTTTCCCCCCCAAGGAGCTGCTGGTGGTTTTGAACTGCTAACCAGGAAGATCGCAGTCCAATACTGAACCACTACAAGGCTCTATATCTATACTCTCTCTCTCTCTCTCTCTCTCTCTCTCTCTCGCTCTGTCTCCCTCCGCGCCCCGGCCCCCCCCCCCCCAAATTGACTGGTTATTATCTGCAGTATTCACGTTCTATAAAGTTAACAGTGACCTTCTGCTTTTAGTGGGAATTACAGGGTTAGGTCCCTGTGGGCCTCTGGTCATAACATTGCCATCAACTAATTCGTACCTAATTTTTTTTATGTCTTTATGTTTAGAGACACCTAACACTTTATATAGTTGATTCACTGACATTGAATTCAGGGCCAACAGCACTACAGCTCAAGACTGAACAAAGTTTACCTAGAACACCCATTCTTTTTGTAAGATGTATCAAGCTCTTCTTGTATTTAGAGAACACTAAGCAGCACTACGATAGGGGCTGATTTCAACCCCCCCCCCCAAAATAAAACAGCAAACCCTATTTACTGACTGCCTTCAAGCCGATTCCCACTTACAGTGACAGTACAGCAGGGGTTCTCCACCTTCCTCGTGCCGTGGCCCTTTCATAGTTTCTCATGTTGTGTGACCCCCAACCATAAAATTATTTTCGTTGCTACTTCATCACTGTCATCTTGCTACTGTTATGAAACGGGCGACCCCTGTGAAAGGGTCACTTGACCCCCAAAGGGGATGGAGGCCCACAGGTTGAGAACCACTGAGGCAGACCTTCCTGTGTGGGTTTCTGAGGTGGTTAGTCTTTACAGAAGTAGAAAACCTTGTCTTTCTCCCATGGAGCAGCTGGTGGTTTTGAACTCACCAGCCTTGAGAGTAGCAGCCCAACTTGTAACTCCTTCGCCACCAGGCCCCCTTGGGGAATTCAACAAAACACAAACATGTGAAAAAGGTGTCACGACCCAGAGAGTAAGGGGGTCCCCGGTGGTGTTGGGTACAGCCCTGGTAGGAAGTATTGGACACAGGTTTGCGGTTCAAACCCACCAGCTGCTCCGTGGCAGGGAAGTTGAGGCTGTCTGCCCCATAAAGATTTACAGCCTTGGAAATCCCATAGAGCGTGGCTATGAATCGGAATCCACTTGGTGGCAGTTGGTGGCTTTTTGGCTGACAGTGAGGAGGAGACGGGTTGATATTGTGAACGCCGAAAGAGTAAGGCAGAGCATCCCCTGTTTTAGACTTCAGCTGGGAGCTTGCACGCCAGGCAAACTCACACTTTGACTGATAGGTATACATGTGAATGACTGTGAAAGTATTTTGGTCTCTTTAATTTCTGGAAACCCTAAAAATCAAATTGTCATGAATTGTTCCCCAGACAAACAGAAGCAATAAACCAGTGAGCTAAAATAGCATAGCTATTTTTGAATGACTTAAACTCGCTCATGTTATGATTTCACTTCTTAAAATTTCAAATTGGTTGCTTTGTTTTTTAAATCTTTGAGAGGCCTTCAAACGGTAGTTACGTTCCCACTCTGTGCCATCCTTCTGTGCCCTGTTGGGCTGAAATTAACTTGTTGCCAATGATTTATGTGTTTGTGGGGTTTTGTTTTTGAGAGGGGGCAGACAAACATATTCCCACAATCCTCGTGCTTGTGGATCAGGATAAAGGTTGAATAAAATCTCCTCCACACCATGTATCAGTTTATGTCCCATAGACAGGAAGTTCTGGGCCCAAGACTGGAGCGTTTACCATAATCGCTCTGTTAGGTGTATACTAGCCATTCAGGTAATGTAAAAACTGAAATTTTACCATAATCATCAGACTTTGTTAGTGATCATTCAGGTGATGTGAGATTAACTGTACACGTTGAGTTCCATTTTGGGGGGTAATAACCCTGTTATGAGGATATTGTGTTAATCTGTCTTCAGCGGTTTTCATCTCAGTAAGTGATCATATCATGCATCCGGTCATCCAGAAAAGAAACTTTGGTTTCTCCTCCATTTCTTAAGTACCTTCCATCCCCAGTAACTTCGTCCTCGTTCCCCCGTCACCGCACAGGCTGCTCTCATAGCCTCTTGCGTTGCTGAAGCACCCTCTTGTTGTGTGACTCCCTTACCGGAGTGGAGTACCCTTCCGAGCGGTTTTCACATTAGACAGAATGATCTTTTTGCATTGTAACTCTATTGAAAACCGACCACTAAATCCCTTTTCTCTGAGGACCCTTCAGAATAGGGTCCTTACGTGGATTTCAAGCCCTGCTTTCTTCTCTTGCTTCTGGTTTCCTTAAACCTCCAGCAGTTGTCCTCACTCAACCTTTCCACCCACTTCCTGCTCCCCCCCATCCCTCCCCCAAATGTTCTCGACCACACCCATGCTCACCACAGCCATTCCAGTGCCTACCCCAAGGACACTTCCTCTACGATGTATTCCTAGACTACTCAATGAGGCCAGGACTTCCTCTGTGTGTTTCCATTGGAAAATTATCATTCGCTTTTATTTTTCTTCCTTTCTGAACTGTAAGCTTGATGAGTGTGTAGTCATCACTTTTTCACAGCTTCGGGCTGTAGCAATTCTTGGCACTTGATAACTCCCTCCTTTGCTTTTAAAATATGTATCACATAAAAAGATGCATGCACTGCCAGGCCCATCCATCCACCAAGGCCCAAATTACACTGTTAGAGACCCTCTTTTACTGAATAAATGTACATCTATCATTACCTTTCCAATTTAAATGTCCAGGAGTAACATTTTACCAGAACATGCCCCATGCATTTGTTGACGGATTCTTTGTAGCGCCTTTTTGCACCAGAGTCAGAAGTCAATGGTTGCAACAAAGATTATAGTACTGCCGGGCGAGACATAGACTACTAACCTTTCTGACCCATTCCAGAAAAATGTACTGATCTCGTCTTTACATCACTTCTTGATAGGAGAATGGACAAATAGAAGTAGATATTGCCAGGCCATGTCCAAGCGTTCCCATCCCTGCCTACTCTGCAATTAAGATAGAAGTGTGTCCTGTAAGAGAATAGCATTTGAGTTTCGGCAACTATATTCCCACCTCGCTACCTCATACAGTTCTGGGGTATTTTGTTTCTGTTTTTAAACTTATGTACAGCAGATTAGACATCGACAAAATAGAGTGTTAATATTTTGCCAAGCTAGATAAGAGCTAGGCAGCTCGCTGTTTCCTCTGTGCTGTTCAGTCCTGCAACCCAGTTTGATTCAAAAGAAATCTTTTCCTAAATAACGATATATTTGATTTTTTCAAGCGTCTCTCCCCTCCCCCGCCCTAAGTTCAGGAGAAGCAGAACAACCTTTTATGTTGTATTAAAATATGATGCTGAAAAAAATGATGCTGAAAGCCCTCTTAAAAGTTTTTAATAATTTTTGCCAGTATGCTATCTTGCAGAAAAGTCAAGTGAACCATGTTTTGGTTATAATCGCCTCACTAATTATTAGCTCTAACTTTATTTGTTAGGGTTGTCATAAGAAAATACAGAACCTTTATATCATTTAATAAAATCAAGTTGATTTTACAACATTGTTTACATTTTGTCTAAACATTTTATTGAGAAAATACTTAATGAACTTTGTTTTATTTTTAGGGTTATATCCTGTGTTGTGACCTCATGGTTTAAGTGGGAATAAAGATGAGTATAAGCAGTGATGAGGTCAACTTCTTGGTATATAGATACTTGCAAGAGTCAGGTGAGTACTTTTCTAAAGTAAAATAGGCCTCAAATTATTTTCATATCCTAAAAATACCCTTTTATGCACTTGAAATTTGTATCAGTCCAAACTGTGGAGTTCTGTCTGTTTCCTTAACGTCTGGACTGCTCGTTGAAAGCGATGTGTTGCTGCATGGTTTAACTCTCTGACTCTTTCAAATATGTTGGAACCATCTCAGGCAACTATTTGTAACAAAAGGTTTGACTTTCATGGTTCAGAAGCCACTCTGATAAGCACGGGGCCCATTGAACAGGGTTAGTTGGGATGTATAAATGCACACTCACCATTGTTTTGATAACATACAGTCAGAATCCTTAAATTAAACCTTATTGGTCCTAAAGTTTTAGTATTTAAGAATGCTTTCATAAGTGTTATTTCAATTGATTGAGTATATCCTTGACTGTATTCTTTATTTGGTGGGTGATAAGTAGAATGCTTATTTTATAAACAAAACCCAAACCCTCCTGGATTCCTAGATAAGTTAAGTAGATAGTCAGAAGATAAAGTGATATTGCAAGGTTAAAGTGGAAAAAATGTTAAAGAAAATATTAAGGTAGAAGGCAAACTATTGGGTGTGTATTGGGGTTGCAGGATCCTGAAAAAGATTCCCAATTGCAGTGTTAAGTGCAGATTATTTCCACGAGTTAAAATCATTTGGTCATTAAAAATATAGCCAAGCGATTGCCTTTTAGCAGTGAGCACCCAAACGTTGTTGAGTGTTTCCACAGCAGGGGGAGGCATGTGGTGCACAGAGAAACTGCGAGACTCGGATGCCTTTCCAGGTCTTGCAAATACTCTGTCCACAGTGGGCTCTCACTCTGTTAGTGAGTTTTCTCCCTCTGCCATGTGCCTGCCTTACCCAAGTGTTCTGACTCTCTCAAGTTTACTGTATTAATAAAAGACAATTTTGGTAGTGGTATGTGAGAGAGGACGGAAGAGTCAGAGTAGAGATCTGCTTTGTAGGATGGTAAAGATAAGGTGAACCTCAGTTCTTATCATAGCAGCAAGCTGGTTGTCCTTTCTAGCAGAGCAAGCTTTCGCATGCATGGCTTTAGGTCTGACGCCAGGCTGCCTGGATGCTTGCTCTCAGCTCTTCCCAGCTGTACCTGAGTTCAGAGCCTTTCCCTCCGGCTTTCTGCACGCTGCTCCTGTTTGGCCTGGAATAGCTTGGGGGAGACTGAGGCCAAAAGGGAAATGGAGGGAAGAAACCTGGTGTATATTCCCCCTTTTCCTTTACTGATATTGAAGGCATATTCCAAAAAAGTATCTCAGAGAATGGATTGAATAAGAGAATGTGATGAATAAAGCAAAAAACTAGTTACCTGTGATTGCAAATAGGAATTTGGAAATTGCTGTACAGTATTTGGGGGGTGGAGGATATAATTGGATTAAAATCAATTTGTGTCTTTTGCCTTTGCATCAGATCACTATTTAAGTCAGATTTGAAACTTTTGGACCCTGAAGCCAAAAATATTGTGAAGCATCAACGTCTGGGAAATGTTTGGTGGGTTATAATAGCAAATATTGAGGCAGGGTCATAAGAAGTTGCCGTTTTCTGGAGGTCAAGAAACAGCTGACGAGTTCAGCAGTGCTCTCTGGTCACCTTTTGTTGAATACAAATTGGGCCTGGTGAAGTTAGACGTGCTAATAAACGCTCAGATATTTATATTTCCAAACAGAAGCCTACAAACTTAATGTATTCTATTGCCACAGCAAGTACAATAAAATAACACTTGGGTGTTGATGGACTTCTGATAGAGTTGATTATGTAATAACGTTTTGTTCTCAGAAAAAAAAACACCCTTCTAAATGGCACGTTCTAAGGCATTTCATTTTGCAGTAAGACTATAGCAAGAATTATTTTAAAGGACTTTGTCAGGCTAGACTGATAATAAGTCTCCTATCATTGCACTCTCTTAGTTGTGTTCTGTTTAATCTTTGGCATACTCGGTAATTTGTATAATGTACTGGTGATGATGTATGACTTTAAGTCACACCACACAAAATGTGATCACCATCCCCTTCATAAAATTTACCTTATGATTTGCAGAGGAAAATTAGACTCAGCTGACATTTTTATTTATGGTAGTTTTTTAGGAATGCAGCTTGCCCTAGATTTAGGTATTGCCTACACAGTTTGACATTTGTATCAGAATCATTCTGAGAACATCAAGTAAGGCCCAAGAATCTGCATACTGTAAATGTCCCCTTAAGTACAATGAAGGTTGGAAAACCATTGGCTTATATTAGTTGTATTACAATTCGAACTGGACAAATGGGTATGTAGTGGGTTCAAATATCTTGAAAACAAAAATATATTTAGTTAACTTCCGGGTAAAGTAGAAAGCATGAAAGGGGCACATATTGAGTCGAAATCTGAGTCGAAAATACATCCCCAAAAGGTGTTGCTACGAAACTTGTTGGAAGGTGTAATAGGGATGTCATAAAGGGTGCTGCGAGGCATTCATTTGACGTTACTTTGAGAAATATGAAAAACTAAGAGTGGTGGCACCATGGTTCAGTGTCCAACTGTTTGAACTAAAATTTCGGCAGTTTGCATCCACCAGCCTCCACAGTCTGCTCCTGTACAGATTACAGCCTAATACACCATGCAGGGCAGCTCTGCTCTGTGTCCTGGGCCTCCTGAGTCAGACTGCACTTGCAGGCATACAACTGCAGAGAACGCAGGGCTCGAGCGAGAGCTCAGCACGTCCCCAGTGGGACTGTGCATGCTGTCCATAGATCGCGGCACTGCTGCTGGTTCCATAGATCGCGGCACTGCTGCTGGTTCCAAAGGCTCACTCTTGTTTCTGATCCCCATTTATACAATACAAACGATCATTTTTGCAATTGATGATTTTTATGATTTACCTAGTTCTATTATTCCATTTCCTGGCTGATTTAGGAATCTGTTGTGTTTATCACCATAATTTCCAAAAGATACTTGTTGAGAATAAAGGTGTGAATTACTTGAAAATCATAAATATTTCTCACAAAAATTATAAAGTAATTCAGTAGAAACTAAAATTTTAATACTGTTTCTTTTCAAAAGGAGCACTAAACTGGATTTAGATAGGCAGAAAAAAGCACTCTGGCAAGGGGTGGGGTGGGGTGGAATTGATGCTAAGACCATCAAAATGCTGATTTGCCATTTTAAAGACTGGTCTAAACCACCACCACCAACAACAACCCCAACAACAGCAACTCTCTGTCTTCCCTGTCGTAGTCCTGAAAGTCAGAAACATACCACGAAACTATTCTGTTTTGATAAATAGGAGCTTCAAACATGTTTTAAAACTTTCCATTTTTCTTGGTCAAATATTGATTAAATTCTGCCATCCATTCCCAGTGAGACTCTCATAAACACTTAATGCTCTGTGAAGATCACCCTATTTTATTAGCAATGCTAAACCATATTAATCTGGTACAAACCCCTCCCACCCCAAAGCCCTTAGATAGCTTCTTGGAGCATCTGTTTCCTTACCCATGTAATTACGAAAAGTGGATCACATCGTAATTCAGCCCCAAGTCTTCAAAGGATTTTCTGAAACAAGCTATCACCACCTACCAAAACTAATAAAGAGAAATATGTATTTATTCTAGGGTGTTTTGTTAAGTGTTGTAACTTACTAAATTGTCTCAATTTTATCTGTAGAAAATTCACCTTAAACAAACCACTTTGCTCTTCACTATTCTGCACTTTTATGCACCAGACTTCAGTATTCCACAATTATTTCCTAGGGAATAAAATTATCTTTTTTCCTCTTTTGAGATGACTTGAAAATTGAATGCATTTGACATGCAATGCTGTAAGTAACGATTGACTTTATTCAGTATGCTGCCTTTAATTAGTGTTCGCCCAAGGGCATTAATAATTTGATTGCCCTAGTAACTAATTTTACCATCCTTATGCAGATAAGTACTTCGTGGTACATGCTAAGTTGTGTATGACAGAATCTGATAGAGTGTTAATTTTTTAAAAGCTTAAGAGGCTTAGCAAGGACCCTGGTTGAGTAGTGGATTTCCCATTGAGCTGCCAACCTCTGGGTAAGGCGTTCAAAACCACCCGTTGCTCCACAAGAGAAAGATGAGCTTTCTATTCCCGTAAGGATTTACAGTCTCAGACACCTATAGGGACCGGTCTACCCTCCCCTATAGTATCGCTGTGAGTCCAAATCAGCTGGATGGCGGTGCATTTGGGTTTGTGTTTGGGAGAAGCAGTTTGGATCTTTCCTTTTCTGCGTTTCTTCCCACCTGAGCATCACATATGGCTCTCCTGAAGTTGCTCGCAAGTTTAGAGAATTCTGTTCTGGGGACAGGTGGTTGCCGCCAATTATTTGTGATGTTTTTAATACCAGGTTTTTTGGGCATGTGTGCTGGTGCTGGTGTTGCTTTGTATAAGAAGGCATCGTTTTATGTGCTTTAAACTATGTGTTTGAGCCTAGATTTTACTCTCACTCACTAGGTGTTTAAGCTCTAGGCTGCTTCCATCTCTATAATATCCCTGAATGTTGGGAGGTATGAAGTAATTGCATCTTATGATTGGGGCGGGGAGCCTAGTTTGTCCATATTACTAAGATGAGAAGTTATTTTCTAGATTTTTACTCTCAAAATCTAGCATTACTTTAAAATATCTTCTTGATTTTACCAGTAAGATTTATCTTGCTGATAGTCTCCATTTATAAAAAGGCAGTGGTATATGAGAGGACTTCAAAGTTTTGTGGGAAAGTTCTGTTATCGCTTAATTCCATTTTCCCATTCACTTTTTGAAGGCCTCTTGTATGTAAGCTAAAATGCTTGGCTCATGAAAGTTCATTTGTCTCTCCCCATCTGCCTTATATTGTTTCATTGAATTTTAAACTTTTCAAGGCTCTCACATCTCCCTGGACAGAGGTCTGACAGTGGACCACTTTTTCTTAGAGGCGTATGACTCCACATAGTCTGAACAAGTATTGGTTTTTTTGTTTTAAAGTATTTGA